TTCACATGTGTCCTGAAGAAACAGGCCACAGACTAACTATAACAGCTCATTTGTGCACATCACATAAAGAATAGAAATACGTTGCTTTGAATGGCTGTTGGCGTCTTCCTGTGGTTCTCCGGAACTCATGTTGACACACGCCAGCGCCCGAGCAAGCTGTTAAACATGCCGTCTTAAGGCTATTACACTGATTACACATGAGTGGTCATATAATGTGCACAGCAGACAAAAATGATGGATGACTATAAGAGAACCCAACATGCTGACCTTGGAGCGGTTAAAGATCCTTTGGTTAGCTTCAGCCTTCCTCAGAAAATCCTTTGGTGTATTCTTACTTTCTATCCCAAACCGGAAATGTGTTCAGGATGATGAGCTCTTAAAAGCTCTAAGTGATCATCAGTGTTATAAATCTAGCTGATAGCCCAAATCTAGAGAGAAATACATCTGTGCTGTACATTATGGGCATTGCTCAGTAAACCACATACATCCATCACAAACAGACTCCTAGTGGAACAGGAGATCAATTCATGAAAAAACGTCGACCTAATGACGGCATCTGTGCTTTTCCTGACATTGATGAGTGGGCTTAGGTCCTTCCATAAATCCAGACTGCTATCAAAACAAAGGCTGACAAAAAAGACGGCGAGAGAGTCTGGCTCTCACAACAGGAGCAGGCAGCATGTGATCCCCTGTCTGCTGGTTGGTTGGTTTTGAAGCAACAGGATTTTGTTGGGAGGCCAACTGTGAATCATGGCTAGCAAACCAGCCGGCCAGTCAGCCTGCACGGACTAGACCAGAGCAGGCTTCCCGATCCCCGTCACATGCATAGGGTGTGGGATCTGTTGGAAAGGGCAGCGCCACATGGTTTGGCATGCTTCTTTAGTACAATGAAGAGAAATGCATCACCCCTAACAAACGAAGTCTGAAACTAAGTCCGTTAGCTGTTTTCCCCCCCTCTACTGTTCTCCCAATCATGGCCAGTCAGCACACCGGTAGCAAAGCACCGTGGGAACAGAGTCAAACAAGGGGATAGACTGTGGCGCACTAGAGGAGGTGTTGTAACAAGAAGACTAAAATCAGCCAGTACTGTTAAGTCATTTCACCAATCTAAAGAAAGGCCCACAGTTCTTAGAGTTATGTATTTATAGGCAAACGCAACATATCGGCTGTAACTCTAGTCGGGCGTCTCCAAGCCCACTAGGCCAGAAGACATCCTAACCAGCTCTGCAATGATAACAAGTGGATATAGCCTGTGGGCATGTCAAAGGAAGTCGTTCCTCTGCCAATCATGACAGGTGCCTTATTGTTTGGCTGAGCACACATTGTGCTCTCAACTTTATTTTGAAAGACATATCTATCCGGCTCAATTACCCTTTGTCTGGTTAGCCATGCAGAAGGCGCTGTATGATATAGATGAGAACATATTTCTTCTTGAGGGCTCTGTCTGCACACTATTGATGGCAGAATGCAACAGATCTTTATTCAAACTGTGATGTCATTATTATGACTGCTGAATATGTCTACCTCCATGAGTGCGCTGCTGGCAGAGGTTGAGATGGGGTACATATGCAGCCTCATTTTCATCTAAATTAAGGAAGATATTGTCTTTAATGTAGCTTTCATCTATCTGGTAAAAGGTCTGCTTTCCCTTCTGCAACAGACACATTCATTTTTTAATTAAACAGGATAGAGTCATTCAAAATTCGAAGATCATCCAAGTTAAACATTGGGAATAATGAGGAATGGCATATATCCAATCTCAACTGAAACACAGACAACAACTAAATATTTGCATGATGACAAAGAGAATGAGCAGATTAATAGGGTTGTTTTCGCCTCTGTGCACAATAACAGCAAATGACTCACACACATCACTAAAGATGTCTTAATGCTCATTCAAAAGAGCGGTCAGTTGAAAAATTGCCTCTCTGGTTTGCAGACCTGATAGCTTGAGTTAAGCCAAACATTTTGGGTGCTAAATGAAAATATGTTAAATGTTATACCGGGCCATGAACACCCTGGAGTCACATTAAAGCACTCCTGTGCCTACTTAGTTCAGCACAGCCCCCCGGAAAACTAATCTTTCCCAGACATAAAACCCTATGAAAAATAATGGTGTCCTATTGATTTTAAGCTCCAGGAGAAAATAAATCTTTATGCTTGATCTGTTCAGATGAGAGCTGTGAAGCCAGGAGGGCAGAAATGCAGAGCACTAAAAATCAAACAATGGAAACGTACATTCACACTCAAGAGCACATAGTTGTTGAGCTCAGGAATGGGCCTATTTGTTTCCCTTTATTGGGAAGTTAGTTATTGTCGGGGCTAAACTTCCTGCAGGAAGACAGCAAAGGGATATGGTGGTAGAAGACAAACAACATTTCACTTGTTTACTCTCCCTGTGGAGTATACAGAACATTGTATGTCAAATAAGCCATGGGAGAAGCCAAGTAAGCATAGCAGATAGCAGACTGCCAGAGATTGTGTATTATCAAAACAAATATAATGTTAAAGGAAATCCTTTGTCTGGATCTACTGAAAAGCTCCCACTGCTGCTAAAGTAAACCAGATATGGACATAATACAACAGTAAAGCACAGTGGGGTGTGTTATATTCGTTGACCACTGTTTACATACATGGTTTTTATTCCACTCTGGGCTTCCCACAACAATTACATTTGGCCCGTGAGACTAGCTATGGGCCTCACCTTACAGTAAGCATGTGAAGGCTTTATTATCCATGACCAGTAGGACAATGATGCCTTTATCGCCCCCCACTGTTTTCATGAAAGCACTCCACTAGACAAATTCATTCAAAAAATATTTCCCTGCGAATCCAGTCCAATTAACCCCCGCGCGCACACCACCAGCAATGTTACAAAAATATGACGACAACATTAAAGTAACATTAACAGTCAGAGAATTTTAGAAAAACCATCAGTGACATTCTATAGCCTGCCTCAGCTAATATGAACGCAAACATGTATGGTTTTTTGCATTGAATTTGTCTATGCGCGAGGCTAACACGCTCGTGGTAGATAAACAAACAAAGCTAAGTAAAATATAAGTCAGCGACACCATAGCTAATACCATGAATAGACACAAATATAGGCTATAGATAGGCTACAGCTGAAACATTATACTCTCCAGTCGTTCTATATGTGTCGCTTACATTAGTCTACATATGCTGCTGTGCCCGAAAGAAACTTTATCCTTTGTGTTCACTATTACCATCGATAATGCCAGTGAGTTTCTCCACCTTTCACTACTCCCTGTGTGTGCAGCGCTGGCGCTCCTCACTTTTAGCTACAGCCATACTTTTTAGTTTGTTTGTCCGCTCGGAGGGAGGAAATTACATTAGAGTCATTACCTTACAACGTCAGCGTTGTCCGGTCCAGGTTGCAGAGTTGTTAAGGTTGCTAATTATCCTTAGCGGTTAAAAAAAACAGATGAAGCTGCGGTAGCCGGGCTTGCATCTCTCCCTTTCGGTGTCAGCCTCCAGACTGAATTGGCACAGACCGTGGCAATATGCATCCAGCACCTATCTGTGACAACACGCAGCACCGAGAGAGGCTCCGCCCACCCTCAGCCTGCAGGAACTCTCTGCACCTCACTCCTGTGCACACACAGACATTTATTATAGGTTTGTTGGTTAATATTTTACAGAAAATAACAAACTAATTTACATTTAAAAAGGGAGGTCATAAGCCTGTCCTGTTTAGTGGCCTTTGTGACATTCACTACACCCCTTTGTTCATCTATAAACCACGTAAGCCCTACAGTGGCCCCATCTGGTGAACTGCAGAAAAGTTTTTTTTCAAAATGTATGTAAATAAACTATGATCTTCATATCTCTTTGCATTGTAATGTTTCATCTAGCCCTGTAATTTGTAATTTGTATATTTATATAATTATATACTGCATTTCAGTGCAATGGGCTACGTAAAATACCCCATAAACTAGGCCTATATTATTTAAACATAGACACACGTAAAAAACAAGACTTCATTTTAATCAGATACATATGTAAATATACACAAGCAAATGACGAGATACGTATAAAAAAATAGTCAAATATAGTAACACAAAGCATACATAAACGAAAAAAAAAAACATTACATTTGGAGCACAGTTTCGCAATTGTAATGGTTTTTTTTGCTTCTTTTTCTGTTGTCCTCATAAAAGTTCCATCAATGTTTTGACAACAAGAAACAAATGATTAATCTTCGCAAATGTACATGTATGGTTGTATACATTTGCAATCCTGCCTACTGCAATACGTCTATATATATAATAAATCACCTCTGGCTGGCAGAGAACTCTCTGCTCCATAGCTTCTCTTGGAAAACTGGACTTAAACTCACACTGTACATTTTACATTTATATTCAATCTAATATGTAATATTCCATTCCTCACATACTTCTGTATGTATAATATCCTGCTTTATCAAATCAAATCACATTTTATTTATATAGCACATTTATAAACGATTTTTGGTCGAGCCAAAGTGCTGTACATATAATAAAAATAGCCTACAGTAGAGACACTACAGCTAATACAATAGCACAGATTGTTCTTGTTCCGATTATATTTAGTTACTGTACATTTGTAATGGTGTATGTTCTACTTTTTGTAATGCTATTTCATTTCTATTGACATTTTGGAATGTTTATTTTAGTCTTTACATTTTTAATGTTCAACGCCATGTCTTTTTATGCTGCTACAACGCAAACATTTCCCAAATTAGGATCAATAAAGTACTTTAACTTATCTCTTATCTTATCTTTTAAAAAATGACGGTTATCAAGAAAGTATATTTTGTATAATGCTGCGTTAACCCTTAATAGAAAAGAAAAGCACATGTTTAAGGAGAAGTTAAGAATCACAATGTGTTTACTTTTAATATAAAAATCTAGAAATATCTTGCCACAGTTTGTGAGTACGTATACACTTCCAATTGAAAATACAATTCCCAGGTATCCCGGGGCATTGTGTGACGCATAATGCTCGCGACAGCTGCTTGTTTCCATGGAGCTGATACAAGCTAAAGCGGCGGATTAGCTAACAGCTAGTTAGTTAGCTCGTTGTTTAAGGTTTCTTTTTGTTATCACACGGCTTTCAGGATGTCAGGACGAGAACAAATCGAGACTCTGTTTTCATTTGAGCTTTTGGTGGAATCCATCCGAGTGGAGAAAGAAAGTCAAGTTTCCGACGAGCTTGCTCTGGGAGTAAGACTGCTGGATTTCCCAACGCTGCTCATTTATCAGCCTGAGAAAAGCAATGCTGGAGGGAACCAACATGCACACAATGGAAAGGATCAGCAGGGGGGATATGCCTTCAACAGAGGGAAGTCTTGTTTCTTCAAAATGAACCTGAACGCACTGTTTACCCATCTATCCAACACTCCTCTGTATGCTATGGTGCTGGATGTGAAAGAAGAGATCCCCAAATTAGTTGGTACCTCTCTTGTGTCACTGGCGAAAGCGATGGACAGAATCAGGCAGGATGTGAGTGAACGTGGTGTTTCTACTCCCTCGTCTCATGGTGAAAGGGGGGTTGTGGGTGTATGCAACCTCATGGGGGAGAACATTGGATCAATTTCCCTGAGTTACAAACTTCTAAGTCTGGGAGCTAGTTTACTGCCACACATCACAGAAAGAAAGGGACTTCGCAGTGCACATGGCGGAAAACATTTACAAAAAAGCCTCATGGAGAAACAAATCACAGCATCAGTGGCTCTTGATGAGAATACTTTAATACATGAGGATAATCAGGACAATGGTGTTCCTGTTGTCCTGCAGAGTGAACACAAGCCAGGGAGACAAATGCCCCAGACGCATGAAGAAACTGAAAATAATTTTGAAGAAGATGTTTTTTGTCCGCCACATCTCTTCTACAATAATTCTGCAGAGAAAAAGCACACACATAAAGAAAGGGATTGCCCTGTACTGAATTTAGACTCTGAGGCTTTCACATTTGAAGACACTGAAGATGAAACGAGTGAATATACAAATGAACTTGCAAGTGCTCCAATGATTGAGCAGAAAGTAAGACGTGAAAAAACTACAAAAAAACAAGACACAAGCGGGGCGACTCCAAATGTCCTCGGGGAAGCCTTACGACAGTTGCCTCTGTTAAACGCTCTTCTTGTTGAGCTGTCACAGTTGAATGGTCAGAACTCAGACCAGCCTCTGTCTATACATCCCAATCTATCATGGATTTACAGGCCGGCATCCACAGAGCCTTTCGCTGGCCATGGAAACACACCAGGAGAGGTTTCCAAACAGGGAACTAGTCCCAACTTAAAGCATGTACATTCACCCAGATCCTGTTCTACACCTGCATCTGTTAAAGTGAGAGACAAACAGGAAGAGGCTAAAAGCTCCAGCAAATCTCCTCACAAGAAGCTTGTGTATGGTACGACTAAAACATTCAATCTGAGGCTGAAGAACATTTCGCCTCTTAAAGTGAAACGACGGGAATGCATGGCCTTAATACAACGTGAAACACAGTCAAGTATCAACAAAGCTAAGACTAAGTCAAGTAATACGATTGTGAAGTCCAGCAAAAGAAAATCGGGCTCCAGTCTAAATGAAAATGTCGAGACAATGATGCAAAACATCGCAGCGGACTCTGAATTTCAGGGCACATTCACACTAAAACATGGCAAAGCTCGAGGTGAAAAAGACACCGACTTTTGAGAGATTCAGGAAAATCTCTTTCTGAAAAAGACTTGAAGTGTGTTCACATCCCAGGGGTGGAAGGGGATCATGTTACCCAAAATAAAGAAGAGCATCACGGTGACTCGGATCAAGTGAAATCACAGTCTGAATCTGACAGGCATATAGAACCATTTGAATCTTCAGGAAGCAGCAGACATAGCAGCCTCAAATCTTCATTTTCAGACTCCAGCGAGGAAGGAGACGAGGACGCAGACTACGCTGATGACTTTAACAGCCTGGAGCCCAGCGATGCCTACTCCCCTGACCCCCTGAGCAGCCCCGAGCCCACCAGAGCCAAGACCCCATGCTCTCCTCTCCACCACTCTGACTCAGAATGGGTTCAGAAGAGAGCCGTCCTCCCCATGCCCATCAAAGCCCCCCGCTCTCCACAGCACGCTCTGAGGGGGACGCACACAATAATCCAAGCCCGATCCCAGGCCTCGGCCCTCAGCTTCTCCTCCGATGACAGTGACCTAGACGGGTCCAGCTCCTTGCAGACCATATGCTCCAGAAGACAGAGGACAGTGAGCAGTAGAGTGGGAAAGAGATCTGATGCTGAGAGTCTGATATCATCCAGAGGTAAACGGAGTGGGTCATCCAAGAACAGCGGTCCTGTGGGAGGGTCTTCTGCTGAGTCAGTGTCCTCCTTTGAACAGCAGGAGGTGGAGGAACTGGAGGATGAGCTTGGGTCTCTGGATTTCAGAAAGGAGTATAAGCATATGTCTGAGCTAGTGGCCAACAAACTCCCTGGTTATACCATGTAAAGAAAACATTTATAGAATTCTACATTAAGGTTACAATATTTCCAAATGGCAATGTTCCAGCAAATATGTACATTTGTATGTAAAAAATGTTGTGTGTAATATCTGATACCTTTGAATAAAGAATCTTCTTTCGTGGAAATAATGTGATCACTTTACTTCTTAATCACTTACTTAATAGGCTACTAGGCTACTGTATATTTGCATAACTTCTTGGACCATGAGTCTTTAGTGACATAAGTGGATGAAAATGTCTCTATTCACACTGTTTAAGCAAATAATTTTAACTTAATAGGCTCTCGTTTTCAGTGGAGTTGTCACAAGCTAAAGTCTCCCAGAGCTCCAGCTCCTGATTTCAGGGTGTTTCCTTTAACCGCCTGCTACTTTGCATTTGTCAGTTATTTGATAAGCAAACAGAGACAGCTATACATGTATTTAAAACTGATTTGGTTTGTTTTTTGTGTGACAGTTACAGGATTGTGTTACAATGCAAATACGTTTTCATTGTCCCAGTGGGACTGGGACAATGAAAACGTATTTGCATTTAGTACAGCGGATAAGCTCTCATATTATAACAATTGTGCATTTTATGAGAAAAGCATGACATTTCTAGCATAGTTAGTGCATACCATAAGGTTTATTTTCAGATGTGGAGGGAAGTCAGATTTGACCTGTGAGGACCATGAGAGGTCAAATCCAAGATGGCCGCCAGTCTCTCTGGTCAAATGTTCAAACACGCTTAATTTTGGAACCAAACATTGTAGAAAAACATTTAAGGTGTCATATCCAACTAAATTAGGGATGCCCAATCATTTGGTGATACTTTTGAGGTTGCCAGAATTCAAGAAAATGCATTTAGGTGAAGATAAAGGTAGAAATTGACCAAAAATAAGCTGTCAATCAGTTGAAATTTGCTAAATTGCAAATTATTTTGTGTGTGTGTGTGTGTGTGTGTGTGTGTGTGTGTGTGTGTGTGTGTGTGTGTGTGTGTGTGTGTGTGTGTGTGTGTGTGTGTGTGTGTGTGTGTGTGTGTGTGTGTGTGATATCAACTTATCATCAGCTAGATACATGACATCAAAGTAACAGTCAAATCCAAGATGACCGCCAGTCCTCTGTGTTTAATGTCCACGTTTTTTTAAATGTTGGAACCAAACGATGTAGAAAATAATGTGTCATTTAATGTGTCATTTCCACCTAAATTGGGGATGCCCATTCATCTGATGATACTTTTGAGATTGCCAGAATTAAAGACAATTAATTTAGATCAAGGACAAGGTCAAATTACATAAAAAACTTTTGGAAATGTGCTTCAATTTTGAAACTATAGAGATAATAATACAAATAAATAATAGACCCATGGTGGTAGTCTATTTTAATGATGATAATAATACAGATCTAAATCTAACAATCTCCAGAACAGAAACATAGTGAACATAGCTTTAATACAATTTTCAACCAATCTATCTGTCAATGGAGAATATAATAAGATAGAAGCCTAAGTCACAACAATGAGATTGTTAAACATAACAATGAGTTAGTAAGATGAAAATCAAAATAAGGAGATGCCAAGTCAGAATAATGAGATAGTAGTCAAAATAAGATGTTTCTCATTATTTTGAGGCAAAATATTGTACAAATATATTTTAAAAGTTGCTTTTTTTATGCTGAGCTATGTTTTGGAATAGTTTCTCATTACTTTCACCTGCAGTAGCCTATATGTGTTCCCTCCTTTATATATACAGTCTATGGTTCCCTCTCAATTCTTCTACTTTAACGTGTTCGTCTTCATTCAAGGTACTGCGGTGTGGTTACTACTGCGCATGCGTCAACAAGCTGTGTACGGAAGTGCTGCAGCAGCATGTTGAACGGTGTAAACTGAAATGTTCAAACACGTTTTCCTGACAGGACCTCCAGGTAATACTGAACACCAGCCTGGGCTGCTGCTGAAGGTGCAGTCGCTGTAAATCAAGTGTAGTCATTCAGCTGTAGTTACCCTGTGTCCGAGCCAGCACATGTTTAGGTTGCTTCGGAGGAAAGTTAGCTTGTCTTTAGCTAATCTATCGCAATATACTGGTAACATGCAGAGGTGGGAGAAGTACTCAGATCTTGTACGTTAGTTAAAGTAGAAGTACCAGAGTGTAGGAATACTATGTTACAAGTAAAAGTCCTGCTATGAAAATATTACTCAAGTTAAAGTACCAAAGGTAAAAGTACTCATTATGCAGATCGACCCACTTGAGAATAATATATATTATATCATGTTTTGATTATAATTATTGATGGATATATGTGTATCAAAGCTGGTATCAAAGGTGGGACTAATTTGTATAGTTTGAGTTACTACTTGGTATTTTATGAATTTAGTCAAGTCTAACTAAAGTCCTTTAAGGGATGATTATGTTTTATATCATATATGCAAAGTAGCTTAAGGTACTACATAAATGTAGTGGAGTTAAAGTACAATACTTACCTCTGAAATGTAGTGGGGTAAAAGTACAAAGTAGCAGTAAATGAAAATACTGAAGTAAAGTACAATTCCCTCAACATTGTACTTGTCTTAATGGTTTTAGTCCACATGGCTCACTATTCCCTATGTAGCCTACATACATATTCATTTAAAGTTGTGTATATTTAGTTGACCCCTTATTGATTATTTATGGGAGAGGGATGTCACTAATGCATGGCTAAGACGCATCCTAACATTTCACAGAATCAATAAGTGATATTCAGTTGTTTTACATTGTCTCTTATTGTGCTCCCAGGTGTGGGTAAAACCACTGTGGTGCAGAAAGCCTGTGAGGCTCTAATGTCATCAGGAGTGGGAGTGGAAGGATTTTACACAGAGGAGGTCAGGGAGGGGAGCCGGAGGGTCGGCTTTGATGTGGTCACAGTGACAGGAGAGAGGGGCCAGCTGTCCAGAATCAGGTACCAGGGTCATCCCATCAAAAGTACCTGCTCTCTTTTATCCGTGCTGTTTTCCAGTGACTTATTGTATCTTTCAGAGACCTCGCTGGTTCTTCTCATGGCAGACGGGAACACACAGTTGGGCAGTATGTGGTTGACTTGCCTTCATTTGAAAACGTGGCTCTCCCCCTCTTCAGAGACGTAAGATTTTTAAAACTCTTCAATAGATCACAGCAAGCCAAACCCCTTTCTCCCCTCTTAACAACTCATCAAACCTTTGATTTTCTCTGATTTGATGGAATAATTGGAAGCTCGTAAACACATAAATTCCAGAGTGACGTTTTTAGTGTTGGTGGTGCCGTCTGGCTGTCACTGACCTGATGAATCCAGCATGTAAAGTGAGCCTGGAGTGACGCCTACACATGTGCTGTAAAGGGAAGGTGTCTCTGCCTCGGCCTGGCGGCTCATATTCCACTTTCATCTGACTCAAAGCGACTCTGTAATCACTGCTGATCACGCGTTGCATGAAACATACGAACACTATCACACGCATTAACATGATCAGCTTTTTCCACAAGTTAGTTTAGCCATATGGACACCAATGAAACCTCTTTAATCTTTTTATCAACACGTGTCAAACAGAACTTATTTATTTACAAGTTGTTCCTCAAACAAGCACTTATCAAAGGGATAGTTCAGATGTTTTGAAGCGGGATTGTATGAGGTAACTTTCCCTAGTAGTGTTTGGAGAGTACACAGATCACAGAGCACAGACGATGGACGGGGGAAGCAGCATTATGTCTTTTTAAAAAACCCTCCTAAAAGAATGAAGATCATTTTTTAGTGTTTGCTATATTTCTAATGTTTCACCACTTAACCTGATGTCATAAGCCTTTTATGAAGGGGAACTAGAGCCTTTGTATCCATCTATGCTCTCTTCAAAGGCACAAAACATTGAACAAATAAGGAATGCCTCATAGAAAGCAGATGTTGCTCATCTTCTGATGCCTTGATCGGTTAGTTTATTAGTGTTATTTGGTGTTTAAAGGGTTAGTTCGGATTCACCAAAGCCACACAATGACACTAACTAACTGTTCAGGCAGCAACTTCTGTGTTCTGCTATTTAAAACGCTTTATTCAATGGACTCTGGTGGCTTTGGATACAGCATAGATCGGTTAATGGCTTCAGTTCCCTGTCAGGAACATATGTTTAAAGGAAAGGTTTTGCAGGGAAAACATTGTAAATAAAGCTTACACTCAAACTGAATTTGAATATTTTCTGTTGGTATCTTTTTTGACGCTGTCCAAAGCAGTACCTTGCCTAACTTCCGTGCTTGTCAGTTTCACGCAACAGTTTCTACTGTACTCCCTACAGATAAATAGCTCCTACAACCCCACTTCAAAGAATGCAAACTACCCCTTTAATGCTAACATCCTTCATCCTCAGGTAGGCTCAGCAGATGGCGGCAGCAGGAAGGTGTTCGTCATTGATGAGATCGGCAAAATGGAGCTCTTCAGCCAGCCGTTCATCAGGGCAGTGAGACACACTTTAGACAGCTCCTCCTGCACCGTCCTGGGCACCATGCCCATCCCCAAGGGCAAACCGCTGGGTCTGGTGGAAGAGGTGCGCAGCAGGAGAGATGTTAAGATCTTCACTGTGAGTAAAAACAGTAACACTCTCTGGGTGAACAAATATATTTAGGTCAGTTTACAAGCTCCTTGGTCCCACAATAGCTGTATGGCACCGTTTACACTGTATGTAGTTTGTCTTAGAGGGCAGTCAGTCTGCCTGCTAATGCACAAAGGGGATTAACTCTAAATCATGCGCGACTGATTCAACAACAAAGGGTGGTCTCAAATGTCAAAATAATTTATCACGGAAGACTCAGTTATGGATATTGTCATGCAAAACACTCATGCTGGAGTAGTTATAACGTAAAACAAAGTTAAATGGCAATTTCTTCACCAACATATGATTTGTATTTCCATTACAGTAAGTCAGAGATTTACAACATGTGATATTCTCAAAGTGGTAACTGTGTTGTCTAAGGCTTAGATCTTAGAAGACATGTTTTTTAACGTTATTTATGGTTAGCTTTACGATTTTATAACGATTTATATTGATTTTTGCTTGTTTCTTTTCCTGCTTAGGTGTCTAAAGAAAACAGAAACACCATTCTACAAGACATTTTATCAACGGTGCAAACTTGTCTGCAACCTTCAACCTTCTGAATATGGAGA